TTTGTATTTGGTCCCCCTACATAACTTTGCTTCCCCCCCCCCCCAAATATTAAGCGGTTTTGTTAAAATATTACTTTTGTTTTTAGTAAATAATGATAGAATATAATGGCAAATTATTTAAGGTTTGAATGTGCCAGTTTGAATGTGAAAGTACAAATGAGATTTTAGAGCTACTAGTTTGGAAGCTACAAAACAGAAAAGCTTGTTTTGTTTTGTGTTGTTTGTTTTTCTTTTCTTTTTTATTCCTGCATTTTGGTCACACCACCCAATTTTTATTTATTTATTTTTTTTTCAAATATTAATACGTTTTTTTTTTTTTAAATATTAGTTTTGTTTTTCTTCAAAATAAAGATGATAAATGATTATGCCAAATATGAGATGAGATTTAAAAGTTACTGCAGAGGGGAGATTATCATAAATATCAACAGCCACAAATGATTATCTTAAATTTGTGTCTGTTCCTCGTGAAAATCTATTGTACAGCTTCAGCAGAAATATAGTGTGTAAGTGTCCTTTTAGCTGTTTCCTCTTCGTTCATTTGCATTGCTCAGAAAACAGCCAGAAGAAAAAAATTCAGAATCGTAACGACATGAGGGTGAGGAAACAATAACCGGATTTTGTTGAACCTTTAACTGCAATAACTCAAAGAACATACTGCTCTGAATCTTTTGTTATTTGAAATGAGGTATGTGAGCGCATTTGATAGACACACGCTGTTTTCCAGCTAAATATTAAATTCATTTTCTGTTGTTTATTTTCACCCATGTTTCCAAACGACCCAATGTTCTCCCACAATATGCCTATGTGCGTAAACAGCATTGACATAATCCTTGCTGGGCCTTTTAGATTTCATTTAAATGAGCTTGTTTACAACAAAAGAATGACTTATGAAAGAAAGAGAAAGTCTCTGTTTTAACCTAGAAAAGAGGCTTTTATATGCTAAACAGCAGCCCTAGTTCAGAAAACCATCTTTTGTATGGATTCCACGTGTTTGCAGGCAAATCATTTGAGCTTTCATTGAATGTTTGATGGAAATACAGCTTATTTATCAGTCTGTGTGTTTAGTAATTGGACAGCTAAGATGCAATGAGTCAGTCATTTGTGCATCGGATTGAAAGCTTTCAAAATACTGGAAGGTAATGCACACATCAAAGCAAAGCCTTTGAAAATATGAAACATTCAAAACCATTTGACCCTCCGTCTTGAGGTGACCCTTATGAATGACGGAGATCTCTTGCTGCATATAGTAATTTAGTTTTTTCATTCTTTCTGTGTCTCCGAAGGCTCCATCTTCCCATCCCACAGACCCCCGGACACTGTCTTCAAAATTACTTTCTGGCTGGGCTACTTCAACAGCTGCCTCAACCCCATCATCTACCCGTGCTTCAGTCAGGAGTTCAAGAAGGCCTTCCAGAACGTTCTCCGTGGCCACTGCCTCAGCAGAACGCACAGGACCTGGAGCCCTCCGACTTCTGCTCGAGACCCTATGCATGGCCCCAGATCTGCACAGGGTTTCCCATCTACATCTACTGACTCCTGGAAGCCTGCTAATGCATCGCTTGTCACTAATAAGAGCTCATATACTGCACATAGCAGCAGTGCTCTGAATGTACCTGAAACATCTCTGACAATGAAAGTTCATCAGGTTTTCATATGGAAGATGGACGGTGAGGCTGTATGAAATGCTTTAGAAAGAATAAAAGACAACTTTTCAAAGGAGTTTACAAAGCCACTGTGGAATGGAACACACATGACCAGGGATCGAGTTCATTCTCATATACAGGAGCTCCACCTTGTGGCAACGTCTATAATATGCATCTGCACTTTTGAAGATTCACAGTTTGTAGTGTAAAAATTTAGCTTGGTAATGAAATGATTGTGGACAGAGTTATTTGACTTGTGCAAATACAAATACACTCTAAGAAAAGTACAATGTGCTTTGTTAATATGAAGGAATTTTCCGCATTGATTTTTCACGTGTTTTGCATATTTTAAATATTTTAAGTTGAATGAATTGTCGTAAACGTACAGAAATGCAATTTTCTGCCGGGAGAGTATTAATTTTTCTACAGATTTTTTTTTCTTAGAGTGTACAATAGAGTCCAAATCTGTGGAAATGCTTATATTTTGTATTATTTTTCAAATGTTGTATTATTTAAATCTAAAAATAGATGTTCATTTTTGGACCCTGAATTGATATAATATTGGTATCTAGTAATCATTTGACGGCACTTATATAGATATATATATTTTTTTATTATTATTTTTTTTATTATTATTATTTTTTTAATGTATATATATATATATATATATATATATATTATGTATGTATATATATATTTTATGTATGTATATATATATATATTTTATGTATGTATATATATATATATATATATTTTGTCTATGTATATATATATATTTTATGTATGTATATATATATATTTTATGTATGTATATATATATATTTATTATGTATATATAAATACACACACATACCGTATATATTTTGAAAATGTTTACATGTATATACATTTATATTCTTATATTTTATATTATATATTTAATATATAAACATAATATATTTTCTTAAATATTTACATGCATGTGTTTGTATTTATATATACATAATAAATATGCACAGTATACACACATATATTATGTAAGCAAAAACTTTTATTTTGGATGCAATTAATTGTTGGAAAGCACTACTATATATATATGATTCAAATATCACATCTCATGATATGATATGATATAATATGATGAATTTGATGATATAATGTTAACAGACTATAAAAGGAGTCAGTGTATGTGTAAGATGTCTACTTATTTCTACAGTAGTCTACTTAATTCTGGTGCATTCTAATTCCTGATGCATTATTATTTATTATATAGGTTGTACAAATGGCTGAAATTTAAGAACAGAGAAAAATAAATGTCTTTTCTTCCTTTTATTAATTTTCCTTTTTTGTAACATCACCATCCAAGGGATTTGACACATTTTCAAGAGCAAGCAAACATCCTCAAACATCACAGCCAACAGAATAAACACCAGCACACGACACGTTCACTTCTGGAGTGGGGAAAGAGAGGGTTTGGGATTCTAAATCATTGGCAGTCTCAGACTGAACGATCTTTCAGTTCCCATCTGCATTTTACATAGATTACATACCACGCATAGAAGAACATTCGAGCGTACATAGCAAAGTGTGTGTGTGTGTGTGTGTGTGTGTAGTGTTAGTGCCAACAGCTGCTCTGGGATCAGAGGAAATGCTTAAGGCATGTTTCATTTGAACTGTTGCATATGCTCATATGATCGATAAGGAAAAGACATTGAAATCTCACATAGGACAATTCTGTTCTCAATTTATGCCATATTTTCACACCAACTTCAATGAAATAAAATAATTTTTTTTTTTAAATAAACATTAAACTAATCATTAAATTTAAATCTGAGAAGCACAAATCTGATATACACGAATGCAAATTAAACAAAATGTTAATTCTCTGAATTTATCTTGAATTAAATGTATTACCTTAACTTCTTTATTCTGTTTTCCAGCTCAGTACGTTTTTTCTTTTAAAAGACAAAAATACCAAAAAAGAAGAAAATTGTTTCTCAAACCATCAACCTACAATTCAGAATGTGCCACCATGCAAGAAAGGCGGGAAAGGACGATGGCGGCTGTCTTTTTTTAACGGTGGGTACTGTATATGGTTTGTGTTCGGCTACACTGTAATCACAACTTAGTTGAAATGATCCAGCCATTCAATGTTGTTTTAATAGCACCAGGCCCAGAAGGGTTGCTAAGGGTATGCTTCCGATGTGTAATGTGTTGCCATGACAAATAAAAGAGTTAGATCCCGTTGTCTAGCAGGGACAGCCGTCATAGTAACAGTGGAAAAGCAATGAGGTCAGCAAGAAATGAACAAGAAACAGGAAGAAAGAAAACAATCAACAGTCATGAGGTGATAGACTCTACAGGGCCTGCAGCGGCCATTATTAACACATCAGTCCCTGCGAACAGACGAATGAATCATAACCTCGCGTCACCCTCCTCCATTTGAGAGATACACATTCCAACAGCGCACTAAACGACGGCCCGACTTTTCTCTTGCTGTAGTTAAGCTTAACGAACCTAAAGCACATGACTGAAACTAAAAATGGGACATTTGAGTGAGTACAGGGTGGTGTTCTGTTAACCTTTTTTTTTTACAAGCCAATGCAAAGTTTCTCTGGGGAACGCAAAAATTCAAAAAGCACTGACATCCCCAACACAAAGTCCATTTAGGAGCTCCATATCCTCAGTTTGGAACAGACAACTGTGCGTCTTCCAGTAGGCTACACAACAAGTATACAACAACCAAGCCACACTGAACATTGAAGTTGAAACCCTGTCAGCGCTGGAATGAATCAGAGCTTGTGTGTGTGTGTGTTTCTCTGTTGAGTCACAGAGGAAAGGGCAAGCAACGGAGAATGATGATACCGGCCAAGATTATGTGCATGAGGGAAAAGAAAACAGCTGGAGGACGGGTTTACTAAAGGAAAAACAGACTAGCCTATACAAAAAAGTCCCGCCATTGCTAAATCATAGTGAGATTTAAGCAAGGCACATTAAAACCAGTTAATGTCCTTTTATTACCATTTTTACTTTCTACCACGCCTTCCTTGTCTGAGCTGAACATAAACTTTAGCACCATCCACAAAATGTGGATTATCGTTACTTTAAGAGTCATGTGGCGATATATCTACTAACTAATCTAGTGTACTCATAAGCAGATAAAACACTTTAAAGGTCTTTCTCCTAACAGCAAAATAATAAAAATGATTGATGACTAATATTGTACTACACTGATTTTTGTCCAATCAAATGCTCTCTTGAATGACAGTGTCCCTCCCCCGATACCAAGCAACCAACTAGTGTTACTAAATACCAAATCATTAAAAATGACTGACATACCTAAAGCCTGGTTCTTTCAAATAAAGAGATGATCCCTTCAGTGTATCCAGTCCTAACTTCTTGTTTCAAAAGGAAATGCGTCAAACACAGAAGAAAACTGATACCGTGCTAGCTGTATTAGCTAACCTAGAGTACTAGCTGCTCAGTGCAAAAAAAAAAAACTCTCATTCACTCTTTGATAAAATAAAATAACACCACGCAAACATGGAGCTGCCACAGGTCATCATTGAATATCACCTTTAACTTTTAACTTTTATTTGAATGATATTATTACAGTATGCAGCATTTTACTACGGCACTAAAATGGATGTCGACATTAAAAATGGCGCTGTGATAACTCATTCTTTAAAAAGCCTTTCAAAAGCACTATGACGAGTAAAGAGGAAAATCTGGCACCTTTGTATCGGTTAACCGGCTATTTTACTTTTAACAGCCTTTGAGTTGTTTCGAACAAAAAACACGAACAAGCTCTTGTAGAAGTACTCAACATGATCAGCACATCCCAGGCACAGCTTGGAGTTAAAGATACAAAAAAGACACATTAGCGTAAGGTCTGCGATATCACACTTGACGACATAGTCACTCAATACCGTCAAATTTCACAACTCACAAACTTACAGAAACATCCATCTGGGGGTTTGACTCTCAGTCCAAAGTTTACTTAGTATGCGTGGAGCCCGATTTTTTACTCTTTAAGCTCAGCTCACACATGCACACTGAGGTTTTTTTAATGCACTTTTGTTTTTTTTTTGCATTAATTACTTTGTCCACAATGTGGCAACATGTCAAGTTTTTAGTTCAATTCTACTCCGCATGTGTCCAGCGGCTATGTTTGCGCACGCTATGAAATGAAATATACTTTGATAGGCAACATGTTCGGCTGTAAACATTCGGCAAGTGTTTGCGTTAACACTAAAGTATACTTTGGGCTTTAGCGCATTAGGAAATTGCTGCTAATTTCATGGAGTTACATTCACGTTGTTCTTTAAAAGTGACGTAACAGCATTTTCTTTAGCTAACTTTGGAAGCTAAAAAGAAATTGCATTGACATTTTTATCTCACTAATTCAGACTTTTTTCACCAGTTCTGACACAAATTCAAAATTCTTCAGTAGCTAAACAGCTCACTTTTTTCATGACCAAATACTAACTTGACTTTATCCTCTTCTTAAACTTTACATATTAACGCAGATTGTGCAAAAAAAAAAAAAAAAGAGGCGGGGTTGAGGCCAAAACAGGGGAGGTTTCCAGCTATAACCATTTGTGGTCCTATCTTATTTTCTCCAACTTTGCTAAGCTCCGTGTTTTCACATGCAGTTTCTTCTTCAGTAACATTAACAGTGTTAACTAAATATCTCTAGTTGTGAAACAACACATGGTGTTTAATCAGCGACCACTGGAAAAGCTTTCTTTTATTGACCGGTACAGAAAGTATCGCATTGAATGCCACGGAAAGGGCATGGGCGGAATACGGTCAGGTGTTCATACTGATGTAAACTGATTGTTTGAGTAAAAAACGTAATAAAAGATTTCCAAAAATTACAACATTCCTAGTGTAATAGACTTTTAGCCACAATGCCACAAGAAAGCCAGTACTCTAACCCTTACCTTGTTAATAAGTAACAATGATAAACTGCTTTTCTAATACACGCACTTGATCCCTCTGGTTTCAAAAAGCAAATAAAGTTAAATACAAAAATGATAACGACTCGTGGTGGGTAGAAAGTACAGTATAAAAATCATACAATCAGAAGTGCACAAATGTGGATGTAACATTTTTTCCTTCTCTCTTCACACGAGGCAAATACTTTGTTTTTTTTCTCTCTAGATGTCTCCTTTAGGAAGTGGTGCGAGGTTGGGAAAAGAAAAACAAGGGAATCGGGCGAGAGCTCAGGGGTTGGGAGGAAGTGGAAAATCATAGGCCCTGTGAAGGGTTCTTGATGTGACAAGGTGGTCTCAGCAAACACCTCAGTTATAGACATCCCTATCCCCCAACCCCCTATTCTCCTGTCGGCTGGAGGAGGGCGTCTAGCCCAGGCTGGTGATGTTGGCCCTGCCACCAGGGGGCGCAACGATGCGCTGGGTGTTACGGCGGGGGATGTTGTCGTCAATCTGAGCGCCTGAAATAAGACAAATCAAAAGGAAATCAACCTTATGGTGTATAAATATTTAAACATGATGACACTGTTCCTGTGAAAGTGTTCAAAACGGTTCATAATAGATTACTGTGAATAATATGAAAACAACAAATCTCTCAGTATTATTACAATTCTGGCCAGTACTAAGCAACTAAAATATTTTCTTTTTATTTAATACTATTTAATTTATATTTAATGATGCGTTAAAAATAAAAATTTCAGCCTATATGGAAATGACATATCATGCATCTCTATTAATTTTTTGGTTTAGATTTTTGCAAAGTGCTCACCGGAGAGGCTGAAGCCGGACTGGTGCAGGTTGCGGAGCTGTTGAGAGGGCTGCTTGGCAGGAGAAGTTTTGGCAGAGGAAGCAGGGGTCACAGCTTTGGGCGTCACTGAGACTTCACAGACCGGGCCGTCATAGAGACCCCGTGGGACGCCCCTCAGTTCAGCAAGCTACAAAACAACAGTGCATGATAATGTTAATAAAACACAGCTAATCTGATAACCTCAAACATTTAGAAATCTACAGTTAAACATTAATGAAGAAAATATTTAATAGCATTTAAGTGATATTTATATTAATAGGCATACAATTTTAATTTATGAATAAGTATATTTACAGAATAAATGGGTAATCTATGTATTTATTTATGAATAATAAATATTTATAATTGTTAAAATCAGTATTCTATAAAATCAACAATAAAAACAATGATATATATATATATATATATAATATATAGTGCCATGAAAAGGTTTTTGCCCCCTTCCTGTTTTTTTATTTGTTGTATATTTTTCACACTTAAAAGATTCAGATCATCAAACAAATGTTAATAATATTACACAAAGATAATGCAAGTAAATATAAAATGCAGTTTTTACATTTTTAAAAGGGAAAAAAAAGCTGTCCAAACCTACCTGGGCCTACGTGAAAAATGAATTGCCCCCTCCTGTTAAATCATGAAAGAACTGCAATTAAGCACATTATTTTAGAAAGCTGAGTTAAATTTCACTAGCCACACACAGGCCTGATTACTGCCAGACCTGTTGAATCAAGAAATCACTTAAATAGAACCTGTCTGACAAAGTGAAGCATGCTGAAAGAGCAACTCATCATGCCCGCGATATAAAGAAATTCAAGAACAGATGAGAATCAAAACAGTTGACATGTATCAGTCTGGAAAGGGTTATGAAGCCATTTCTAAGGCTTTGGGACTCCAGCGAACCACAGTCAGAGCCATTATCCACAAATTGAGAAAGCTTGGAACAATGGTGAACCTTCCCAGGAGTTGCCGGCCAACCAACGTTACTCCAAGAGCACAAAGACGACTTATCCAAGAGGTCATAAAAGAACCCAGAACAACATCTAAAGAACTGCAGGCCTCACTTGCCTCAATTAAGGTCAGTGTTCAT